CCAAACAACTACTCAACAGAAGCACTTACATCCTCTTGTGTAGCTAGCTGGTCAAGCCTGAGGCCAAGCTCCTGCCAATGACCCGCTGCAATTTCCATCTTTGATTGATGAGCAGGGACAGAGATTCATGTCTCAGGAAGGGAGGCTTGGCTGGCCTGTGCTGGTGGGATTTCCGCTGTGGGAACAGGCACGGAGCACACTGATAACTTGGGTGCTGCACGCACCAGGAGGGGCGGAAGGAAGCAGCCCCTGACTGTGGGGTCAGGCTATTTCTGCTGGGATTTGAAACTGCTCCTTGGAACAGAGTTGAAACAGTCACTATAAATGACTTGCATGAAAGAGGACAGAGCATTTTGGAGGATTATAATTTATGCCAGGCAGAAGCTGTTATGGTTCAGTTTAAGGAGCTTAAAATAAGACTTTTGGGAGACAACCAAACCAGCTTCAACTCTGGTAACTCCTCAGTTCAAGATACTTCTAAATTGATATGTACAGGGTCTGTTCCTGCCTGAGGGCCAAGGACTTTGAACTCCTGTTGAAACCACTGGATCTCAAAGATGCTCTGATGATATTTGGCACTGTTAAGAGTGAGCCAATGCCCATTAGGAAAGAGCTGATAGTGCCTTGGAGCATACGATTCTCTTTACCCTTCATCTAAACCTGAATTAATTTAATTTAAGGATTTCTCCCCCCAAGGCTTTGTCTTTCATGGAAGGTACCTCTTGTAGGAATGTAGAGGTTTTCTCCTTGGGATCCTCCTTTCTGCAGATTTAAAATCAATCACCTTATTAAGCCAACTGGAGATGAAGCACATGTGTCTGGACCCTGATCATCATCCACGTGCTTCCTAAAGATGGAACAGAGGGAGGGACAAATCAATCCGTTTCTGCTGACCAAATAGAAAGGGAGACATGCAGTCCTGTCTTGCCATCTCCCAGGCAACTTAAGAGTACTTTATATCAAAAAGGTATAGCTGTATCCTCCTGTTTTCTTGGAAATGACGCAGTGGCTATCATTCCATTCTCAGAGAAATATGTGTACAGTATGACACTGATTTCTAAGTTTGCAGACATATTGCTTCTCTAAAACTTCCCTATTTTCCTTTATTAGTTTTATCACTGTTAGTTAAGTTGAAACTCTTACTGGAACATGCAGTCCAAACCCGCCTCCTCTAGTCTTTGCATCCTTTAAATATTTACAGATGGTTTTCATATTCCCCTTCAGTTGCCATTTAGCCAGTGTTGCCCTGTGTGTATCTCTTCAAACTTAGCACCCTGGGAAGGGCACACAAGGCCAAATCCTGCTCTCAGTTACATCTCTGTAATTTTGGAGTAACTCGGCAAACTTGATAGACATTGAATTGACACAAGCAACACACAGAGCAGAAGGTGAATGCCAAAATATAAAACAGGATGTCAGTCAAAGCTAACATCGCATCCTATAGGCCACAGATTGCACAAGGTTGGTGCCTTTTCTATCATGGCATTTTTTGCTGCATTCTCAGTGACTAGAGTGAAGATTTAAAAGTTGTTGTGAACTGCAATGGCCATGAGGGAGATGCCAGCACCTACCATGGCTCCTCTGGGAAGTGAGATACAGCACATAATTGTGTGCTGGTCCATGCAGAGTGCTTGAGTGATTTAACACTGATTTTATAAGAGGTTTTCTATGTTACATAGAATATTTGATACTAGATACTTCATATTTCTCTCTGTGTTAAAAACATGACACAAGAACCTTGTTTTGTTCAGTGACTTTTTTTTCCTATGGGTATTGATAATTACTCCAGCAGAGAATATTTTTCCACCTTTTCTCAGCCCTTCATAGGGCTGGTTGAAAATGCTGTTCTATGTCTGTTCTGAAAGTGGAGAAACTGGCCAATGAGACCAGAACTGAGCATCACAAAGTGAAGTCCACAGTCCATTTCCCAATTAAAAAAATATGTCATATTTTTTTTAATTGGGAAAGTGCATGCCCAGAGGAAGTGGTTGCTCAAGCTGCCTCATCTTCTCCAAGCTGCACTTGGCAGAGTTTGCAACACTGACTTCACATCCTCAGTTGACTCATTTCCATGGCTTTTCTCTTTTGCAGCCTTTATCATAAAGGGTGAATGTTGTTTTTCTCCCTTTGCAGGTTATTCTGACAGAAGTGGGAAAGGAAATAGAGAACTATGAACCACCATTCTTTACCCAGAATCTGGCCTAACCTCCAAGGAATAATCTTCAAAAGAACTTGCTTCTAAATATTGGGGTAAGATTACACCTTAGTGTTTAATTGCTATTATAACTTAAAATCAAGCTCTTCAACTTATGCAACTTGAAATAAAACTGTTTGTCCTTAAATATAATAATAACAACGACATATTCTTCTAATTCTGTGGTCCCATAGGACAACAGTCCTGTGGTTGCTACTGACCTCTATCACATCCAGTATATAGCATGAAGTAATAAATTTATTTTTATGCAGCACTGATGGTGTGTCCTGAGAGCTCCATGAGGCAAAGATACAAGAAGAGGACAGGCATCTCTTTACTCAGCTGACTTGGTGTGAATACCAGGGGATAGCTCTGTATTTTTGGGTAGAGCACTGGCAAAAAAACCCCAGTAAATGAGGCATGAAAGACTAATGCTCAAAATACTACACAAGTATAAATTAAACTTTCCTCTAATGAGGGGAAAATGAGGTACAGATACAACAAACTGATCAATTTTTAAGCTCACAGAAATACCAGAATGCGGTTAGAATGTGCAATCTCAATCTTCTCAGATGGAACTGGTTGTTCTTTAAAGCCCCTTTCAGCCCAAACCATTCCATTATAATTTCCACCCTTACATTATATCCCCTCTGCATAATCACCTTCTGTGGCTTCATTCACCTCTCATACAACAGGAAAATTATAAAACAACTCTTTCATCATTAAGATTTCACTGTCCAGAGTGAATTATTGCAGAAGAAAGGACCTCAGGTAGGACTCCCACCTGTCTGGGCAGTGCCACCTTCTAACAGTGACATTTCTGGCATTGCAGCAGGTGAGAAGCACCTGGCCAGGGCAAGGTCTGTGCATGTGTTTGACTGCCTGCATTCTTCTCCTCCTGTTTGTCAGCAGCTCCCACAGAAGCAAACAGACACTGGCCGCAGAGCTGGTGACAAGAGGCAAACGGCACTAAGTGATATCCTTGACAAATCCACACTCTTGGCATTTTTTCCCTTGCAATAACCTCAGTTCAGACTCTGTAAAGGGCACCTGCAGTTTACAGTGGTCACCATGAGCAAGTTAAAGAAGCTGAACAATGGCATTTGCTCCTCACCTCTCCCCATAGCAAGAATACTTTATTCAGTTCAAGCCACGAGTATAATTTTACTCAACATTTTCAAGGCATTCAATACTGCCACCCTTCCAAGGAATCTGCACTGCATATACAAATAGAAAACCTCATGCCTATTAAGTCATTTTCCTCTTAATCTTGAATAGCTTTTCATGACTGAAACAGAATTTATAAGGTGACTTTACACCATAAACTGCAGCCTGTATTCTACAGCTGCCAGGCACAGACCAAAGAGAAGGTACAGCTTAGGTCAGCCCATCTCTGTATTCTGCTTTTCTCCAAAGACAGCTAAAATTCTGGTGTTAGCACCACTTCTTTGAGAACAGGTATGAAAAATAGGAATATCAAATGCTCTGTCACAGATCCTCCAGACAAAGATTCTCTTTGGCAGGCTTATTCAGCATTTACAAGGGTCACACTTCAGCAAGCAGAATTAATAGTTTTCCCATACCATTCCTTCCATTTTGGCTTTCCAAAACCTCATCACTAGAGCTTGTTGGTTCATTTCAGTATCAAAGACTAATTGGTTCTTCTGATGACAAGTTTAGATGCAATCCTCTGAAGACTGAAAACAAACATTTCAAAAGTAAAAAGCAAAAAGCTGAGTTATTTTCCTAGACATTAGTGGCAGTTTCACCCAAGTGCTACTATATTAAATGGAGTCTTCATGCTTTGGCAAAAATACAAGGCATAATTTTTATCACCAAAAAATCTCAAAGTACATGCAGGATGTTTGCTTAAGAACTGTTGGTGTTCCTTGTTGGTAGATTTACTGACTGAAGGAAAATATAAAACTAGTATAGGTAGGTAACACAGATTTTTTCACACACAGATGAGCATTACAACTTCTAAAAAGGAATAGCTCTGCCACTACACCTTTCCCAGACAGAATAGTGTTAGAGCACTTGCTTTTCTGGGACCAGAGTTTGATTTCAGTTTAAGGCCAGCAATGTAAAATGAGCTGTAACAGGATTATTCCAGCTCCTTCTAGAGGAATTTACATCCTTCTTTTCTAGAACACCAAATTAGGTCACGTTACTTGCATGATTCTTCTTTAGAAGCTGCTGGCAGAGGAAAAGAAAGTATTTGACAGTTCAGCAAGAGATGTTTGCTGGGTCACTTACATGGCTTCCTGCAGCATGCAAGACTTGATAAAAATACTAAGCTGAGTCTGTTCATTACACAGTGACTTTACAATTATCATGAAATAGTGAATATTCCTTTGGTACTCTGTGAGAATTTTAAATTATGCAGTTTCCCCAAAACAGAGCTTTTCAATCTTTGCCTTTATTAAGCTAAATAACATTAAAAAAAAACCAAACTGTGAAGACAGAAAATGATTTGGGTAGTAATTGGCTTCCAGGTTCTCCAGTTTTCAGTGCAGAATTCCAGCAGTACATAGGAAGAAGTTTCTGATTCAAAGCCAGGTCTGCCAGGATCCCCATGATTCCCACAGAGCAGGACTGTGGATTTGGAAATCCCACTACCTGGAACCCTCACCCCTACAGCTGCTTTGCTGTGAGCCCAGTGCTTCTGACAATCCTGAGAATCCCAATCCTGAGTTCCTGACAGGACTTTCCCTGTGCCCATGGAAAAGCTGCTTCCAGCTCCTGAGTCCACAGCTGAGTTCCAAGATTGTCCATGATGGGGGAAAAGCAGCTCCAGGGTCCCCCTTATCCCCCATCAGTGGGCTGCAGGAGGTGTCTGATTGGGGTTTTTTTTGATTGGATTCAAGTTTGTCCCAAGAAATTTCATACCTGCATCTTGAGCTGTCTCCCTGGCATTTTTGATTAGTCATAAAATGTTAATGAATAAGCAGCAAATTTTATCTGTATAACAGCGTCCAGAACACTTTAGTGTTTCTATAAAGTTGTTCATATGATAAACTTTTGAATGCAAAGTCTGGAAATAAAGCAAAAAGTATAAAAAAAGGAAGACCTAAACTTCAAAATTTCTAATTGTTGCCACAAGTATATATTAAGTTTTTAAACATTTCCACCATCTACAAAATGCAACAGGGTAAATGTTTGATTCAAGTCTTTCATTTTGCAGCAGTAAAATGAGGCAGTAATACACTTTATTCCAGGGTCACTATGACAAATTCCAAAGGTTATTGTGACGTGCTCCATATTCTTTTAAAAGTCACTAAGACAATTCAGCAAATGTTTGTAGAAGGCAGAAGACCCCAGTCCTAGCATAAGCTCTTATTGCTAGTACCTATTTTTGAGAATCACCTATATATTTCTGTAGATTTCTTACAAGTTATAATGAATGACTTTCAGATAAAGGGTGAGGAATTCATCATCAATTCTGTGCTGAAACAAAACAAGAGGCCAAAATCAGCTGCTACCAGCCAAGAACAGACAACATTTATCTTTTATTACAACACAATTCTTGAAATTGCAACAAATGCCACTTTGGGGCCATGAGTCCATAGGAAAGAGACGTCCTAGTCCAGAATCTCCTTAATCTCATCCTCTGCCAACAGGATACAGGTTAGTGCCTCACAGAAATCAGTGCTTGGAGGTCAGAGTCAGTGTGGAGGACACCCTGAAGATCTGTGGCAGCATGTTACTCAGCTGGTAAAACATTTCCTCTGAAATTGTCTGGGGAAAAAAAAACAACACACAGGTAAGCTTTGTCTTTTTGTAGTTTGGAAGAATTAAGTCTCTCTCAATTTTGTTTCTTGGTATTTAAGAGAATTGCTGCTATTCAGAAGACAACAAAATAATTTTCAAACTATGTTATAATCTGACTGAATTCAGTTAAAAGACTGACCTAAAAAAACTGGCTGTATATTTATGTGACACCCACATAACCATTTCCAGTAGATTTCTTGTTTCAGGGATTGATTACTTCTGCCAAACATAAGCAGGACAGTGCTGCTTGTTATCTACGGACTCCTTCGTTCTGCATTTCAAGACTACCTTCAAATTTAGAATTTATTTGTGGCTTCTTCCTTGCTCAGCAGCTTTTAATTTGTCAAGAAATACATGTTACTCCTTTCCTAACATTAATTCTACTTTTACTGCTTTTTAGAACAAACCTCATGCTGGGCATCTTTGGATAACTTCCTGTTTCTGAAGATCAGCTAGAACTCCAAATTAAATAATTTCAGAATCTAAATCAGAACTAACTTCAAATACCTGGAGTAATTTTTTTTTTGTGAAAGCATAACTGAACTTTCTGCATTGCAGCTTTCCATGCTGTTAGACAATATGACTAATAAACAACTCAAGTTATGTAACACAAGGCTAGACCACTGGAGTAATTAACAGAAAAATGTAATTAAGTAATTAACAGAAAAAAGTACCTTTTTCAAAGGTGATGCATTCACTACTTGTAAAGGTGAATTTCCCAGTTTGAAATTTTAGCATAATCTCAGAAAATACTAGCGGGTATTCAAAACTATAAACTCACCCTTACTCCTCTTTTATAGGCAAGGAAACAAAACCAGACAGATTAAATTAAACTCACTCAAAAGGGGCAGGCAAAAGCAAAAAAATTACAACTAGATCTGCTGACATGTGACTTCTTACCAGCAGGCTCCTAGATTGGGTATGACTTTGGTTTCACCTACCTGTGGTACCAGGAATTGTACAGTCCGAGAAATTCCTCCGTCCCATGAGGCCATTTCCATCATGAAACCTAAAAAACCAGCAGTGACAGAGTCTGGATAACCTGTGCAATACTTCCCAGCAGTTACAGCAAGAGCAGGCAGTGAGGGAGCTTTCACACACAAGTAGGATGGGAACTGCCTTCATTAGGGATGTCCTCAACTACCTTTAAATCAGACCTGGGCAATCTGAATGAAACTTAGAAAAATCTAATGATGAGTTCTGCAGAATAGCTACACTGAGGACAGAATTATCAGTCCTTCTGTGCAGCACAGTGATGCACAGCAGAAGTGAGGGTTGCTCCAAACAGCGTGCCAGAAGTTCTTACCATGGCTTCCTTTCACTGAGAAACAGGGGTGACCTCACTGTGGCCTCCCAGTGCCTGAAGGGAGCCCACAGCAAAGATGGAGAGAGACTCAGAGACTCTTGACAAGGGCTTGGAGTGACAGGACAAGGGGCAATGGCTTTACAGTGACAGAGAGGAGGTTCAGACTGGATAAGAGGAACAAATTGTTCCCTGTGAGGGTGCTGAGGCCCTGGCACAGGTTACCCAGAGAAGCTGTGGCTGCCCCTGGATCCCTGGCAGTGTCCAAGGCCAGGCTGTAAGAGGCTCTGAGCAAGCTGGGACAGTGGCAGGAGTCCCTGCCCATGGCAGAGGGTTGAAAGCTTTAAGGTGCCTTCCAACCCAAACAACTCTATGATTCTATGATGATTCTATGAGGAAAAAGCTCAGCACTAATTTATTGCTCAAGTAATGAACTGCCAAAGGCCACAGGAATCCTCTCATGGCACGTAAAGACACTCAGAAAAATACTTGTTTAATAGAAGTGGATGATATAGATAATATATCCATTGTGAACTACTAAAGGTCAGTTACTACAGGAAGAGGTTCCTCAAGCAGGTGGTTGAAAGAAAGTGACTGGTTCAACTATTTAAGTGCAGCTCTAAAAATGCAGAAAGTAAAAACAACACTTGGAAAGAGAGAAAACCATGCTGAGTCATGAGGACTATTTTTTCCTAATATCCAATCTAAACCTCCTCTCTGTCAGTGTGAAGCCATTGCCCCTTGTCCTGTCACTCCAGGCCCTTGTCAAGAGTCTCTCTCCATCTTTCCTGTGGGCTCCCTTCAGGCACTGCAAGGCCACAGTGAGGTCACCCCAAAGCTTCTCTTCTCCAGGCTGAACAATCCCAATTCCCTCTGCCTTTCCTCCCAGCAGAGCTGTTCCAACCCTTTAATGAGTTCATGTCCCTGCTCTGGCCAGGCTCCCCAGATCCCACTGGGGCTCCACTCCCCTACCTTTGACGCACTTGAACACGAGCTCTGCCCTCTTCAGGCACCATGGAATGGTCATCTCCTAAATGAAGAAATAAAAAGCCTCAATGCCCCACAAATCTAACCAGCAACAATAGCAGGAGAATTATTAAAAGCAATACATTTTTTGCTCTAGAACATAATTTTCAAGCAGGATTTGGGACCTAGTTTTCCTAATATTCTAGGCAGGTGTACACACCTTACAGGCGACCATAAAAACACCACCACTCCTTATTGCTAGGACAGCCAGTGTCAGAACAATATTAAACATTTTTAAACTGAGGTGTTGAATAAAAATGTTGTCAAACCCACTGGAAACTAGGCTGTTTGATTCCCCTGTGGAGCTCCAGAAAAAGTCTAATGTTCAACTGATAATTGCCAGTTTCATGCTTCAGCAAATCAAAGGCAGGCTCCTGATCACATCTTAAAAGCACAATGATGACTTCTAATTTCTTGATTTTGTTTAATATTTCTTGGCATACCCACAACCTTCAGTAAAACCTTCTCTCTAATACTGGAACTGGAAGAAGTCCTTCCTCCTTTAGATGCATTTATGGTAAGAGGGAGAACAAACAAATCATCTGCATGTGATGAAGGAGTTTCAGATAGCAACAGCCAGCAAATCCTTACCTAAACTTAAATAGCAAAACATGACATGAAAACTACAGTGGTTTAAGATATGGCTACAAGCACTGGGGTAAAATTATTTAAGATTAAAGTTCATGAAACATTTTTTGGCTGTATACTAGAAAGCCAATTACACCATGATGATGTAATTCCATCAGAGACAGAATGACTCACTGCAAACACTGCTCAGGAAGAAGAAAACAATATCTGTTTGTTTCTGCTGTACTCTTCAACATGAAGATGAGCACCTCCTACTCTGAATACAGGAATATAGATGTAGAAACTCATTTATCATTCCAAGTACCTTTTCAAACTTAAGCTTTACATATTTTTCTATTCACTAAAGCCAGTCTCTATTTTGCAATGTCAAACACACAGTGCAATCTGCTGTTATCACAAAGTTTAATTTCAGGATTAAAGAAAGTTATTTGAGATGCAAGGTTATCTAAGAATGCTCAGTGATAACACAACTGATAAACTGGATGTGTGGCTTCATTAAACAACTACTGAAAGCCAAAGTTCCTCCTCAGGTGGGAGGATCTCCTGCAATCCCCCAAAATACACTGTATGTTAAAAACTGGGTAAGTTTGAAATATCTTTTCATAAATCTTTCATTATATAATCTCATGCTGCTTTTAGGGTATACACCACAGTAATCAGAACAGTGATGGACAAGTTTGGGTTTGTACTTTTGTTATGGCTGCCTTTTGGCTTTTTTAATTTTTAAATATTCTGGAAGCAACACTTGGTGTTTATTATGACTCATCTGCTCATGTGTGCTTTCTGTCACAAGTAAGGTTTATAGCTGGTTTTGATCACTGCTTTGGCTTAGTAAAAAACAAGTAACTAAGAAGAACATTCACATTCCCTCTCAGGAGCACCTTGAGCAATCAGTGATGGGAACTGAGCCTTAAACAGACTGATCAACACAGCAGGATATGACACCATTCCTTGGACTATTTGAGAGGAACAGAGTTTAAATTTTGTGGGCATCCAGGGAAATAACAGAATGTTGCTCCATGCAAGCCACAAGAACTGAAAATGACATAGCAGTGATTCAATTCTAATCCATCTTCACACACCAAAGTTCTCATGAATTCACCACATCACCAGGAGTTTTCTCTGGTGGGGAAATGGAGGATCAGCTAAGCAACAATGCAAAATACAGAGAAGGACATTAGAAAGCAAAAAAGCAAACAGCCAACCTTTTAGAGGGAGTTTGGTATAATAGCATTCAAGAAAGTTTAAAAAAAAACCCCACCTGGAACTTTGGGTGTTTTTCACTAGCAGAGACACTTCAACCCTTTTTAAGATGCAACAATTTTGTCCAATTAGGATTTCTCTGACTCATTAACAAAAAAAACAAAAAAAAACAGAAGAGAGGGAAGAGAGACCAGCTTCACTGGTCTTTCACATATTTTTCACAGTGAGAAAGATATGCTGCAATCCTTTTGATTTTATTTTCATTTAATTTATTATAGGCTCACTACATAGGTCTGCTTAGGGCTTGAGTCTTTGCAGAACCATGTAGTAATCAAGTAAGTAACACAGTAACATCATGTGGAAAAATATTTCAAAACTAAAATTCAGTGGGTAATTTCAGTAAGAATTAGCAAGGTATTTAACTTAGTGCATCTGTGCAAATCCTAAACACTGGATGAGCAGATTAAAATTTAAAGCCAGGAAACTCAGATGAGAAACATCTGAGATCAATACACCCATCAGTAACCTCTCTATGGACATAAACTATGTTCATAAATACTTGTTACACAGCTTACAGTCCTTTCATTTCTACTTTTTCAAAAAACAGTTTTGTCTTAATTTATGGTAATAGAGATAACTGGACTGAGATCACTGAAGAGTCAAATTTTTGTCACTGTTGCTATGTGGACAACAGCAATGTTGAAGCTACCAAGGGAGGGTACCAGCTCTGGCATTTTTAGCTATGCCCTGCTGTTAGAGCCATTTCATTTCCCAGTTTATAGCAGATTCCAGTGATCAGTAACACCTTACTTGGCCTGAAATCAAATTTATCTGCTTTTGCCTTTCTCAGGTATCAAATCCAGTTTCCTTCCTTCATTTAATTTAAGAGAGATCTGTTTTGGTTGTTCTTGCCGTAAGAAAAACAGAGGAAAACAAAACTCTTGATTTTTTTTCATAGAAATAATGAAATCTAACAGCTTCTTTGAGATCAATACAGTCAAACTGACAGACAGCAGGTTTAGATTGGAGGGTGGTGAGGTCCTGGCACAGGTTCCAGGAAAGGATGGATGGAGTTTGGAGCAACCTGGGAGAGTGGAAGGCGTCCCTACTCATGGTGGGTGATGGGACAGGATGAGCTTAAAGTCTCTTCCAACCCAAAGCAGTCTGTGATACTGTAATTACTTGTGTGAGGCTATAAACACCACTCATCCATCTACATTAGGAGAAAACCTTTGGAAAAAGCACAGAGAACGCTGCTAATGAATGCTTGTCCCAGGGAAGCATGGAAACATCTCTGCAGCTGGGCTCCTGGTTAACCACCTCACAAAAATGTTCTTCTGTGGGTGGTAAATGCAGAGTCAGAACTGTGGCTGCCAAAGGCACCGAGTTCAGGGCAACTTTCAGAAATCTGTCATTACTCACTTTTCCCTCAACAAGGAGTTACAGATTTGTGTGTTTCAAAGCAGGTCAGCCAGCTGCCAAGCACTGTAATAAGCAAGCTGCTAATGCAAGTCATACAAAGCACTTGTGCCTAAACACACACAGTTACCATCCAGCTCACCTTCTGCTTACTCTGCTAAGACTTAACAGCTTAATACAAAAGGTAAATTGTTTTACCAGGACGTTTTAAGAATCCAGCACTAGACAAGAAGGTAATGCTTCAGTTTCACACATCTCAAGGCATGTTGAACACTTGGTCATGTGCTTTATTTGTAGTTTAAAATACAGATATGCAAGCAGAAGCTAAAACTAGCCAGGTTTAAAAGAAACAAAAACCAGAAGAACATAATCAGGTGGCACCTCGATTAAGAAAAAGGTCAATATATTTAATAAATGTCTGAAACACAGCAACTGGGTCCCATGAGTGACCCAGGCTGCTGTCCTGCATGTTGATTACTTGTATTTGTGTCCAAATAAAGGTCTCAGTACAACCGATGAAAAATGACATAAATAATCTAATCTATTCCTAAAAGTCTACTTTTATGTATGGAAACACAACCTTTAGAAGCTTCATTATTGTCTTTTTACCTTTTCACTATGATAGACCCTGATCCTGCAAAAAAGGACGACTTCTACTCTGTGTTCCAGTAAATTCTATTACAAAACCTGTCACTGTTAAAGGTAATCCACTGGCGAGCATTTATCTGAGTCAGCCACTCTCCACAAAGGAAAGGCAACATTGAGTCTAAAAGTGAAAATCAAAGGGTTATTTAAAATAGAAACCTCTCCAACAGACTGAAATTATTACTGATATCCTTGCATGGATGACAGAATTATCTTCTTTTTCTCATTTCTTTAGGTTTACAGCTCTTCAGGATAGGAGGCATATGGCTGTACTCCCTGCCCATCACTTCTTTCCCTGCCTTCCCACCCCTTTTCTTCCCTGTGAGCCAGGTGTGACAGAGAAAAGAGGCTGCCAATAGTTTTAAATTGCTGTGCACTGAGAAACGTTACAGCTGATTGAGAGACAAGCCCTACACCAGAGTCCCACTACAGAAGAAAATACAAAACTCAGCACAGTAAGTAAGAACACAGAGCATCAGCAATATGCTACCTCTTGCCCAACCAGTATTTGAGGGGACTTAGAGAGGAAACAGGGACAGAAATTAGGCAGCGAAGGAGGAGAGAGTTCAAAGTGAAGGTGAAATTTGGTTGTTCCTGTGTAGGGCTGAGGTGGTAGAAGATTTACAGAACTCTAAGCCAAGCGTTCTGCTGCTCCCAAAACTTAGTTTTAATGTTTGCAGCTAATGATAATTAAAAGAAGGGATCTGGTATCACTACTGCATCAGCAACTCTGAAGGTACAGTTTCTAAGCAAGAACTACCAGTTGTGTAGTCCCATCTTCTATTAATACTTGTACCACTGCAGTGAGATGGATCTAGGAAGTGAATTGTCCAAAAGGAAGGGTTGGAATAAAAACTTTGAGTCATTCAGCTGGCTGAGATGTTTTTAATTGGTCTATTAAAAACATGGCTCCTTAATTTGGGTCACCATGTATATACAACTACCATGTGGTGTGGCAGAGGCCTGTGAGTGAGGAAACCATCCCATTTGGCCTATATCAGCATGAAACACACCATCTGCAAAAATCCAAGGATATAAAACCAGCCCAAACGTTTCCATTTACTTACTTCTGACATTTCATGCACCAGCAGGAGGGGAATGCTGATGGTGGTGATGTCGTGTGTGCAGCACACCTTGAGGATGTTCCTGAGCCCCATGATGGCCGGGTCCCGGGCAGTCACGTTCACAGACCTGACATTGTCATCCACGCACAGGTGAAAGGCAACGTGGATTTCTGAGAGGTTTGAGTGCCTTGTGATGTAGAACTCTCCTGCACAGTAAGGCAAAGCAGGAAGGGAAGAAATCATAGTAGTGATGTGTACTGAAATCCAATTGTTTGGAAGTGTAAGAAAGATAAAAGGCAAATACAAATATACAGCAGAGATGAGGACATGCACAGGAGATCTAAAAATCTCTTGGACTGTCACTGTTTTACATCCATCCCACACTCTCTCCCCTGCTTTAATGGGTTCCACTGGCATCATGGCCACATGGTGTAATGAACCATAACAGTGCCAGTACAGGATATGATCTCTATATAGCACAAAACAGAAAAACAAACCCAGAGGAGGTGCAATACTCAAAATACACAATGCAAGCACGGAATTGCAGACAGATGTGGGAGGCGGAAAGGCCAAAAAAGGATGGGTTCAAATAAAGGATGCACAGAGCCTGTGGAAAAAGATAGCGGGTTATGTAACAACTGAGATATGGCACTGGAACACAAAGGGATCAGTGACCATTAGAATTTAAAATAATTCAGAGTAGTGGGAAGGTGAGTTACAGAGTTGTTTGAAAAAAGGAACCAAGACATCTTGTTGGGGATATTTTTAGATTTAGTATTCATTTATCGAAGGTGAGAGGCAGTGAAATCCAGGTCTCTCCATCGGTCCTTTGCACTGGAGATCCAAAGTCTACAGTACAGTCAAGGGAAAAGCAGGTGTGCAATGCCCCCACTGTTTCAGTCAACAAATAAACATCTTCCTTCAAACCTATTCCCACTGGCCACTGAAGTTAAGATCTTTTCTTTGAACTGGAACAGCTGCAGAATGGGTCTGTACTCCTTCTGGATGACTGAAAAGCAGGCAGGAATCCCCAGCAGTGACCATCTACGAGCAGTAACACAAGCCACTGCTACAAGACACCTGGATTTATCTGGTCCAAGTTGATTTATAATCCACTCCCACTAAAAATATTTAAGACAGTCATGAAATCAATTTTAATAAGCCCTCACTCAACCACAGGTTGTACGGACTTAACTCCTTCCCCAACTGCATATTCATCTTCAAATTCAACAGCAGCTTTCCTTACTAAGCATCACAATATACACAGAAGATACTTCCCCTGAGAGAGGGATTTCTGAAAGCTAGAAAATCCACTCAAATCTGCTTTTCTCTACCACAGCAGTGATATACATATAGCCATTTTCAAAAATAAAATTAGCTAATAGTATTAAGTTTTACCTTTCCTACAAGATGCTCAGAGGTTTATTTTTTTTCACCCTCAAATTCCAAAAGGAAATTTTAGGCAAAGAGAAGTGATTTGTCCCATGCCATGTGATGCAGTGGCAAAGCTGGGAATAGAAACCAGATGTCCTGACACCCAGTTCTCTGCCTCAGCCACAGGAACATCCTTCTCCTCTGATTGAGGTCAGCTTGGGTTCAGTTTATAATTTATGTTCTGACTTTAGAGCTAAAAATGTGGATGGTATAAAACACAATTTGCTTCAGGAAGAGGGGGTCAATGCCACACAACTCACCTGGCAAAATGTTCGACTGGTTTCGTTCGATATTCTTTAATTTATCTTCATTCCCACTGATTTTGTTTTCTGCATATGAACACACGGAACAAATATTAATCATATCCTCTGTTAATTACACTTGGGCATGAAAAGGTTCATGTACTGATATCTGGCTTGAATTTTGACCATGAAGTCCTCAAAATGCAAGGGGGATGGGTAGAAGAGTTTTTGCTGTCTTCAACACAACCCAAACAGAATCCTACCTCAAATCCCTGCCTTTCTTACTTACCATCCCATGATATTTCTTCATTTGGACAACAGCAAACAGTATTCTCAGACATAACAAGAAACTTTGGAAGCTGCCCCCACAATCATGTAGTATCTTGCTATCACTCTTAATTTCAACAAATTAAAACAAATTTGTTCCTAAGAGATTTACATAAATCAGCAGCATAAAACCAGCTTTCACCATTTCCCCTGAGATGCAGCCATATGCAGGTTCTCAAGGGGACTTGTTTTTCTGTGTACTCATATTTGTTCATGTTCTAGATGCATTTAGATCACATAAGTAGCTCTCTGGAGGGAAACCAAAGTTACATGATGTACAACTGCACTGCCTAAACACCATGTGGTCAGAGCATTTCCCAGCCACTTGCAAACACAAATGTAAGGAAAACCATTCCCAAACTTTGGCCAGCACAAGAGAGCTAAATACACATTTAGTCTATTTCTTATTTGGTTTTCAGCATTCACTTTAAAGTAAGGGGGGAAAAGTAGTAAACTCCTTTTTCTGCAATTTTTATGGATTTAAATGTAAATGGCAATAAAAAGATAAAGACAGAAAGTTTGTGCTGCTACAGGCAGTTCAGGAAAGCAGAATGGCCTGATGTACTTCCCATGCTGTTAAAATGTAACTTTTATATGTTGATTCATTTTAAAGGAGCAGCAAAGACAACACTCGAACACCACATTCTGTGAATTTCACACAGTTTCTTGATGAACCCAAACATTCCATTTTACAGATGAAATAACTGCAGAAGAGCGACATGGACTCTGCCCTGCCCACAAACATCCCTCTGACCACGGTTCTATTTCAAGGAGGGTAATTTTGGTTGTCACTGACCGTGGTGTCTTTTTGTCTTGCTGCTACGCTGTGCTCTGGCCTTAAGTACAACCTTCTGGACAATTTCAAGTTGTTCTTGGATTCCAGGAAAATGGAAATCCGTGCATTCTTGGCAAACGGTTGCGAAATCTAGGAAAAAAATAAAATTGAAATGCATGTCCTGAGGTTGTGCTCAGTAACCTTATGTAATTCTACTCTACCGATCAAGTAAATCCAGCTATAAAGGCAAACTCTCCAAAAGTAGATAAAGCCCTACTGGATTACTCTTCCAAAATTTATTGAGGGTTATATTTGACAGATTGTGACATGGTCCCAATACTTTCCCCTCTACTGTGGCTACAGGACCTAGTTGGTGGCTACAAGATGCAATTTTGTGTTTAATGGCATTATTTAAATTTCTGTCTTCTCTCAATGGATAAAATTTAGTGTAAAACCAGATACTCTCCTTTTGTTATTAATTTAAATACTTAAACAGTTAAAGTACCTGCAAAACAAGTACAAAATATTATTATTACAATTAAACTACTTGGAAACCATCAATAGCAACCAACAAATGCAACTGCAGTTTTTCCTGGTTCACTTCCCTCTCCTTCTTGCTACAAGCCTGATTCCAACTGTTTCCCGGAAATATCAAGCACCATTGTACATTTTTTTTATGGCATGCAAGAATAATGACAAGTAATAGTCAAAAAAAGACATTCCAAACATATTTGTCACAGCATATGTCACAGTTGAGACAGCCAGGATACACAGAGTACCACCATACAATTTCCAAAGGCTTTATGCATCAGCCCATAGAGGATAACACCAGATCACTTCAGAAGGCTGCAAGCATCCTCCCTTCTTGTTCTTCAGCCCAACCTTTCATACTCCTCACGTTCATGCATTGCACCTGTGTGCCCTCTGTTCCCTTTTGTGACTGGTCAGCACACCTGGGCACTCCATGGCTCAGTGCCTTCAATGCTGTTCCCTGTCCTGCACATTCCCTGTAACCCATTGGGGATGAGGCTCCTAATTTTGGTATTAAACTTCAAGACAGAAGTGGGAGAGTCAACCAGGAATAAACAGAAGTTTCTTTGGTTAACCTTGATAGAAAACACCATCATAGTGCCCACTTGCTCAAAAGACACTCAATTCAAATTAATCAAATTAATCAAACTTTCCAGAAGTAGGGAAGTCATATTCCTATTGTTCATTTTTAACAGAATTCACAGTATCAAAAGGACATGGTATTTTTATATATTTACCTATCACTTTAAAATCTGGGCATATTTCTTTTTCATTTTTGCAAATAGGTTTCATTGTGATAAGCTGGTATTAAAAGAGTTAGAAACTCCTATAATAAATTTTTCTAAATCAATATTGAAGGGTCCTCTTCAATATTGTTTGTTACTTAGACACAAAATGTAGGGAAGAGATGAGAGGTAACAGCACACTATCCCCCATCCTCATCCATATCTCTTTTTGCATTTGTTACCCTTTTGCCATACTATATGCAAAACATGACTGCCATCCACTGAATTTTAATTTTACAAAGAATATTTTTCTGTGAGAAAAGACAGCCAGATTTTATTCTAATTTATTATTTTATTCATTCTCCCTGACAATGCCTCCCATTAGAAGACTCACCTCTTTTGATTCCACTGTAGGAGCTGATCCTGTTGTCCACCAGCAACACCAGGCCACAGAGGGAGGTTGAGTAGAGGGACATGGCAGTCTGAAGCCTGTGCAGCTTCACCCCACTGCGCTGATTGCGCTTGTGTTTGCAGAAATCCAACATATCAGCTCTCAGCAGCCTCAGGTTGTGCATGGTCTTCAGCTGAGCTCCTGCACAGAGCACACGTGGCTCAATCCCAGTGGAAGACTAACTTAGTGCAGTACAACATAAACTCAGAACTCAGATTGAAATAGAAGGGCACAAAGTGCTTCCCTAAAGATCTGGAAGGGAGCTGTAACCAGTAACACCCAGAGGAAGTTCTCAGCCACTCATTCAGTTTTACAGACACATCAGCAATTCACGAAGTAGCGATAAAAACGCAGTGTTCTCACAAAGTGAGGCTTGCCCATGCCTGAAAAGAGCCTTGTTCCCACTGCAGAATCACAGAATTATTAAGCTTGGAACAGACTTTCAAAACCAAGTCCAACCTGTGCCCAATCCCCACCCTGTCACCAGCCCACTGAGTACCATGTTCAGGCATTCCTTGGACACTTCCAGGGATGGGGACTCCAAACCTCCCTGGGCAGACCATTCCAACCCTATCTGTGAAGCAATTCCTCCTGGGGAGTACTGCAGGGCTAGGGATGAAATACCGATGTGTGGTGGTGTATCCTTCCCACCCTCCCCAGAACCACTCCACAAGCTCAGGAACTCCTGCTAGGCCTTAGCATTTGTGCAATGAGCTGGGTGCTGAGGCATCCCTGGGCCATCCCAGGAACTGCTGTGTGGCTGAAGTGGGAGCTGCTTGGAGGGGAAGAGATCATCAGTCAGCCCCTGACAGCCTGGAAACATCCCCTACCTGACCATGGCCCAAGGGGAACAGCACCATTGCTGCTGGAGCTCTGGAAACTCCAGCAATTCAACCTGAGGATGAACACTTTCCACATGACTCAAGGCAATCCTCTCACAACCCTATGGACCATGGTCCTAAAGGAGCCCTTGGAGCTTTCCTGCACCACAGCAGGCTGCACCAGCATCTCCCTCTGACAGAGATGCCTCTCAGAGCTTGCAAATTCCCAAATTTGTGATACTGGGAAGGATTGTTGCTGCCCATCTCTGCCTAAATCATTTTAGATTTGGTTATAATCCAGTTTTCCTCTCTGTGTTTTATCTACATAGTAATAGAGTGAACCTTGACTTTGAACCTTTTTGCTCTTTTGCAAATTTGTATCAAACCCCCTCTGGCTGATGCCTTTGCTGATGATTTTTTAAGTGACCTAAACAACTCCTGCACAACATAACACGGTGAAAACAGCTCAAGAAGACTCTACTGCACAAACAAAAATACAAATTGCAAGTATCTATTCTACTGTCAACTGATCTCAGGAAGTGAATTTCGTAAACACATTTTTCTACCACATGTAAGAAAAGTCAAATCATCACTTTTAGGCAATACACTTTGCTGTTGCTGTGCTTTTCCACATGAGTCACCCAAACAAAATGGGTGAAAATTTGCTCCTAGAATTTTCTTAATGTTTTCCATTAAGACTTCCACCTATTTCAGACATTGCTTGATACAGTTTATGCTGTTCTCTTACACATGTAAAGAACAAACACAAAACAACTCCAAACTATGGATTATCCACATTGAAAGTTAAATAGTGTAAATAATACATGCTTTGGATACATTATTAATTACCAGCTTTACTTGGGTTTACTCCACTTACCTAAATGAATAGTAAAGCTTTCTTCCAACAGCCTCTGCTCTTCATAGATTCTCCCACTTCCTTCCACAGATTCCCTCAGCTGGCTGGGCTGAACTTTAATTTCATCACTGAAATAGTAAGAGAAGTACCAAAAAGTTAATCCTAATTTTGATTCAAGACCAACAACTTTGGGAAAGTTATCCCAAGTTTTCTCAGCTGACCTGTGGAAACCAGGAGACCAAACCTATGAGCATGAGCTCCATTCATGAGGTTTCACCTTTGTCTTCCTGGCAGCAGGAAGAGGAAACTTCACTGTTAGATTTACATTATTTAGCCCATTTGTAAAGCATTCCAAGACTAAGAATTAAAAATAAGTCACAATACCTAGTTATAACATAGTAAGAATGTAAGAGTAAAAGGAAAACAAAAAGAGTTCTCTTTAACCTATTTACAGCAGGCAAAACCTTTTTTATGAAGTTATTAACTAAAGCACTTCCTTTCTTCTTCCCACACAAAATGAGAGATTAAAAACCACCTTATCAAATGTTCCACAGTGTTCAAACTCCCAGGAAACATTTCAGATATCAGTTTTAATATTTTCCCTAAATTCAACTGTCTGGTAGTGATACAACAAATACTGTTCCTAATACATGAAAGAACAGCATTCAATTTGTCACTGCATTAGTGAGAAGTTTCTGTTTTCAAAGTGCCTCACCTCCAAAAATCTCTTATAAACTTGCAAGCAATTCTACTGATTTCAACTGCCAAGCATCAATCTCTTTCAACTCTCTCCACAAGCGCGCATGCTAAAAAATTCCACTTTTTAGCTGCCCAGTGCCATACATACAGAAAGAGAAAATAGGCTTGTTAATTCAAACCATTGTTACCATTTTTTTAAAGTACCATTATTCTCCAGAACATGCTTAGGTGGTAACAGAAAGGTTTGTGAAACAGTATTTAGGACAGATATAGGAGAGGAAGGCAAAACAGGAGGAAATTCCACTCATGTTAAGCTGCACTTTAGTGCATTACAACACTTTCTGGTACAGAGGTGTTGTAACATCACACAATGAAGAAACTCCTGAAATTATACATATTTCTTTATGATGGTCTATTTGCCTTTGATTATCCTAAGCAAATTATTTATAAATATTATCATATCATAATAAATAGGACTATAGTACCCTATTTAGAAGATTATATAAACGCAAATACTTTGAACTATTTCAGTGAAATTCAGCATCACAGAGGAATTAAATACCTGACTGAGCTGTTGTTGGGATTCTTTAGGTCTTGATGAAGCTTTATCACCCACTCCTGATATTCCTGCTTCTGGATAGCAGTAGTCTGTTTTAATTCATTGGTCCATTTGTTCTCCAAATCCTGACAGGAGAGCAGTGATAATTTGAGTGGTGTGGGTGTTCTTTTTAAGGTGATTATGTGCATGGCATATTCTAGTTACCTGCTGAGACTCAAAATGCTGAGCTGCTAAGGAATTCACATCCTGGTCAGTCAGTGACTTCCCAAGCTCCTGCATCACCTTATCCATTTCAGCTCCTTGCCTGAAAGAGAAGCAAACACAGATTTCAGAAGTCTGGCAGCAGAACAGCCTTTGCTGTGATACAACAACAAACTTGGTTGTTTGTTACTGACAGAATGAACAGTCACAGATTTAGCAATGAAAATCCACAAAACAACTGGCCTTAAGGGTCAGGTCAGTCAGCCCCTGTGTAAACAGAACATCATTTACCCTCATTTGGGACAGTCTCAGCTGCCACCAACACAGGGATGTGATAAATTCCAAGAGAATCAATAGACAGCTACATTACACCTGAGCTCTACAACAATACTGCTCTTTCTTCTGTATGCATGCTTGAGAAGAGACAATAGCAGCAAAAAGATTTGCTAACACCCTACTGGCAACATTGACCCTCAAACCAGAAATACATACAATTCAGTCCATTAGAAACCATAGCATGAAGTGATTTTGCACTGTCTAATGGGAGCTTAAACACACGCAGCTCAAGAAGAATATTGCTACTCAGAATGCTAAACCAGACCCACTGGAATTACTTTGAAAAATCCACACTCGACGTGTTCCCTCTTGTGGATAAAGGAGTCACTTGCAGCTTGCAGCTGTGGAAGCTTATTCCAGAACTCCAGACTCAAACTTGTCATAGAATATATTGTGGTTGAGAGGACCACGACACACAGAATGCCACCATGCCATTTCAGAAAGCTTCAACCCATACAGAGTAACATCATTTCAGAAAGCTACAAACATCTGCTCATCTTGGCCTTCAGCCCAACCTTTGACACCCCTCACCTCACATGCATTGCACCTGTGTGCCCTCTGTTCCCTTTGGTGATCAGCACACGTGGGCACTCCATGGCTCAGTGCCTTCAATGCTGTTCCCTGTCCTGCACATCCCCTGTAGCCATTGGGGATGAGGCTCAGCCACAGCCCCATTCCCAATTACCACAAACTGTGTGCCCACACAAACTCAGCACTTTCTGGAAATCAAAACTTACATTCTCTTCAGTCACTGAAAATAACAGAAGGTCACCAAAGTAATATAAGGTACCTGACCCTAATGGCATCATGGAATCATGGAATGGTTTGGGCTGGAAAGGACATGAATGCTCATTTCATTCCAACTCCGGCCATAGGCAGGGACACCTTCCGCCTGACCAGGTTGCTCAGAGCCCCATCCAACCTGGCCTTGGACACCTCTAGGGATGAGGCAGCCACAGCTCCTCTGGGCAACCTGTGCCAGGGCCTCACCACACCCCAAGTAAAGAAGTTTTTCCTAACACCCAATCTAAATTTTCACTCTTTCAGTTTGAAGCCGTTCCCCCTTGCTCTAAATACTCTTGTGCCAGCCAAGTGTTGTCTGACTTGGGGTTTGCACAGACAAATACCAGCTACACACCTTGTCCTATGACTTTACACACCCAGTGGCATGTACCCCTACCCAATAAGAGAAAGGAGAACCTAAATAATAAAAAAAGTAATACCTTTCACGTAGCTTTTTCAGCTCCACGTCCCTTTCACTTATTAATTCTGAAATGCTAACAAAATAATTGTGTTCCAGGTTTAACAGCATTTCAGAAGCTGGAGAATGGATCAGATCATGATAAACATCTGCAAAATCTTCATCCCAGCTGGTTTCTTCAGGCTTGGCATGTTCTAATGTTGTCTAAAGAAAAGGTAAGAGATTTTAATGGATAAGATTCCTCTTAGGACATATAAAGATCCCTCATAATGGTGGAGCAAAAACCATGGGGGCCCACACACAGCCTGTACCAAACTTAAATTATCTTCCCTAATTTAAGCTTCCTGGCATTCTACTTTAGCTTTCAATTTTCTCCTCTCCCCTTCTTTATCTTTCAAAGCAACTAAAGTCAGAATCATTAAGGCTTGGACTACAGTAAGGAATTACAATTTTCACACAACACCAGCTTGGAAAGAACAGCAATATCCACAATAATATTTGCACCTGATGAATTTTAGATAAGGCCCAGAACACCAGCTGTGCAAACAAAAATGCTTTGCTAGTGAGGATGACTAACTGCTGATGTCACTAAGAATTCCATCAACAACACTGATTCAAGAAAAGCTATTTTTATTGAACAAAGAACAGCCCAAGAATGCCAGTTTTTCAAACTTTTAATGGGATTTTTCACCTTTTTCTGTATTTCATGAGAAGCAAATTCAATTCCTATAAACTCTTCTTTAAATACTGCAGGTTTTTCATTAATTTTTTCTTTTCACTAGGACTCCTCCAGTTCTTTTACATTCCACTATTTTTAAGATCCCATGTGAAACTGGAGACATTATTCCAACTAAAGCCTCCTAAATAATCCTTCCTAAATAATATGAATCCAAAAAATGATCTGAAAAGTCTCTCTCAACTATACACTCTCTCCTTCTAGCCTTAATGACTGTTACTGAGTTTTAGGATAGGACTGTCACTTCATTACCTCTTGCTTTAATTCTAAGCCACTATGAGCCTTATGCCTATGTTTTGTTTGAGTATCAACTGCTGAATGAACAACAGTTTCAACATTCCATTTTTTGCCTCTCCATTTTCTATCTTTTTACTCTATTAAATTTAAGAAAAACTTGACTAAGAACTTGTAGGATGAAGACTTGATGCTCACTTTAAGAAAAAGAGAAAAAACTGCAAGAATTGCAGCGAATTTTAGTGTAATAATTAATCCTCACAATTGTGACTGCACACACACACATACTGTCACAAAGCAAGCCTTGAATATTAACTTTCCAGCCTTAATCTTACCTCTTTATAAGCTTTAGCCCAGGTATCTGCCAGCTGGTTGATGTCTACTTTTCCTGATTTCACTGCTTCCAGAGCCACTTCAGCTTCTCTGTCATAATCTTTTATGGTTTCCTCTTCTACAAATTTACTAAGAGATTGCTTCAGGTCTATTACAAGAAGAAAATGGTCCATCAACAGAACACATCAACAATCACCCAGGAAACCTGTAAGTACAGTTTTTCACCTGAAAACCTTTTCCTTGCTAGCACTTGCTAGCACTGACAGTAATTTTCTCTGATGTTCTGCTGTTTAAAAATCAATTTTGTAAACACTGTTCCAGTAAAACACTGTTCTTTTGGTTTCTTAGAGCAAGCTGTAAGATGCTTGTGGACAAGGATACATGAGATTAATTTAAGAAACCAATTCATACCATTTTCTATAAAGCATGGCAGATTGTGCAGAACCATCAGCCGTCCATGCAAATGACTGATATTCTCTTGCACAGGGAATTTGAGAGGCACAGTAAGCACGAAATGTTCATTTCCAGCACTGAATTCGTACACATAGTCTCTCTCTCTAGTTATAGTCTTTCCTTTATTAGGTTTCATCCTCTTGAGTTTGTTTCCTGCAACAGAAATGGAAGTAACAAGAATTACATTTTCGTAAACTCATAAGTAAAAAATGGTAATGAAAAGCCATGGTTTTGCTCATAATTAACAGCCAAAAATACTTAACTCCCCAAATTTTCATAGATACTCAGTTTTGACTTCCAAATACATGCATCTGGAACTGAAGCATAAATACCAGTTTCCAAAATATCAAATGCTTCTAAAATGTATTTGAGTGTGTCAATATATAAACTTGGGTAAGTGCTCTTAAAAATTACACTGCAAAATTTCCTGACTTAAAAGCAGAAGCAAGGCAGATGGGAATCCTGATAAATAGAAAATTAAACAAAACACCTTAACTTCTGTCATGGATGCCTCAAAAGCTGAAATCCTGCAGAGTGCACAGAGATTTTATTTCCTCCTTTCTGCAGGTGCAAGGCCGGGGGAGTGGGGGAGCGGATGTTTGAAACGATTTTTAGAAAGAGCTGATTTTGTCTTTTTGTAACCTACATTAAAAATAAGCCAAAAGAGATGCAAAGGGGGCTGTGTAGAGTGAAAATACAGGCTGAGATAACCGTGCTGATATTTTTACCCTCCACAGGGTTCCTCTGCTCATTCACATCCCTCTGTTTTTAACATCACCTACAAAGCTGGACACATTGATTCAGCTGAACCCTCCCCAGCGCTAAAAACCACACCCCGAGGAAAAGAAAAAAACAGTAAAAATAAAAACTTCTACAGCAGAATTCACGGGTTTAGGGTTCGGTGGTTTGTTTTGGTTTTGTTTTTTTTTGGGGGGGTGGGTTTTTCAGTGAACAAACCTATGTGTTAGACACAGACGAAACAAGTCAGTTTCCAAAACATCTCAGGACAACCAGTATTGATGCGAGTCGGTGTCCCGGCCTGTCTGGCAGCGGATTCAAAGGGAAATCCTGGGAAACACAAACCCGACCACACTCTTTCTGCTGCTCCCCGACGCAGCGAGGAGGTGGGGAGGGAGCTGATAGAGAGGGAGTGTTCCAAAGAGGATCGGAAATCGCAGGGCTCAGAGCCGGCAGGACACGGCCTGCGGGAGCCCCTCCGCGCCCTCCCCGCCGGGGCAGCTCCCGGTGCCCGCATTCCCTCCGCTGCAAGCGGCAGCGCCCGCGGGCACCGGCACCCTCCCGGCCGTGCCCCGTCCGTCCCGTCCCGGCTCACCTGGCTCCGGGCGGGCAGCCGCGGGTTAACCGGGCCGCGGGGAAGGGCGAGCCGGGATGTTCCGCCTCCCGCTCCCGTCATCGCAGCTGCGCGTCCGCAGCGGCACTTTCGGCGCTGCGCCTGTGGCGAAGGCGCCAAGCGGCGCCGGCAACGGCGGGGATGGCGCGGCCGGCCAGGAGGTGCGTGTGCCGGGCTGGGGGACCGGGGTCCGCCCGATCCCCTCGGGGCCTCTGCGGGATTCCAGGGTGGCCCCTTTCTCTTCCAGCGGAGCGGTCGGGATCAGTGGCACAGGGTCGTGTTGAAGGCCTGGCATTAGTGGTGTCCCCCTGGGTTCTCTCGTAGAATGGTTTGGGTTGGGAGGGACCTTAAAAACCATCCAGTTCTAACCCCCTGCCATGGGCAGGGACAGCCTCCACTATCCCAGGTTCCTCCAAACCTCATCCAGCTTGGCCTTGGACACTGCCAGGGATGGGGCAGCCACAGCTTCTCTGGACAACCTGTGCCAGGGCCTCACCAGCCCTCACAGGAAAAAAAATTTCCATGTACCCAATCTAAATCTCCTCTCTGTCAGTGTAAAGCCATTGCCCCTTGTCCAGTCACTCCAGGCCCTTGTCAATAGTCTCTCTCCATCTTTCCTGTGGGCTCCTTTCAGGCGCTGCAAGGCCACAATGAGGTCACCCCAAAGCCTTCTCCTCTCCAGGCTGAACAATCCCAATTCCCCCAGCCTTTCCTCCCAGCAGAGCTGCTCCATCCCTCTGCTCCCCTTGGTGTCCCTGCTCTGGCCTGGCTCCAGCAGCTCCCTGTCCTTCCTGTGCTGGGCCCAAGGCTGGATGCAGCCCTCAGGGGGGATAGTACTGGGCTCAGAATTGTTTAAATTGCTCATCCATGATTTGGAAGAAGGGTTTGATGTCCCCTCAGCAGTTCACAGATGACACAAAGCTGAGAGGAGTGGCTGATACCCCAGAGTGCTGTGCAGGCCTTGAGAGGGACCTGGACAGGTTGCAGAGATGGGCAGAGAAGTGTCTAAAATTCAACAAAGGCAAGTGCAGGATTCTGCACCTGAGGAGAAACAGCTCCATGCACCAGCACAGGCTGGGGGTGACCTGCTGGCCAGCAGCTCTGCTGAGAAGGACCTGGGGGTTCTGGTGGACAACAGGCTGTCCATGAGCCAGCATGTCTCCTGGGAGACAAGAAGGCCAATGGAATCCTGGAGTGCCCTGGGAAGAGCAGTGCCAGCAGGTCAGGAGTGATCCTGCCCCTCTGCCCAGCCCTGGGAGGCAAATCTGGAATGCTGTGTCCAGTCCTGGGCTCCTCAGCATAGCAGGGACAGGGAGCTCCTGGATTGGAGCCAGTGGAGCTGCAGAGATGATTCAGGGCCTGGAGCATCTGTGGCAGGGAAAGGCTGAGGGAGCTGGGGCTGTCCAGCCTGGAGAGGAGCCCCAGCTGAGAGGGGCCCTCAGCCCTGGGTGTCCCTGTGTGCAGGGAGGGCTCTGAGCAGGGCCCAGGCTCTGCTCCAGGGCCCAGCAATGGCACCAGAGGAACGGGCAGGGACTGAGGCCAGGAGGTTCCACCTGGGCAGGAGGCAGAACTTCTGTCCTGGCCAGTGACTGAGCACTGAACAAATTGTCCAGAGAAGGTATGGAGTCTTTTACAAATCTACAAGCTATTGCTAATGAGCCATTGTGTGCAGTTGCATTGGTTGTAGATTTATCTCTGCTCTCTCTGCCCAGGCACAGGATCCAGGGAACAGCTGGAGCTTTGCCAGGGGATGGTCAGGGTGGATATCAGGAAAAGGTTCTTCCCCCAGAGAGTGGTGGAGCACTGGAACAGGAATGGTCACGGCCCCAAGGCTGCCAGAGCTCCAGGGGTGTTGGGACAATGCTCTCAGGGATGCACAGGGTAGAACGGCTGGGGTGTCCTGAGCAGGGCCTGGAGCTGGACTGGATGATCCTTGTGATTACTGTCCAACTCATGGATAATCCATGATTCTGTGATTCTGTCCACCTGAACATGTATTGCTTTTTTTTTCCTTGTCAAACAAGTTCTACCCAAAAGTGTTACCAAATCAAGTTGCTCAGTCAGAAAGGATTGATAGTGTATTTATTTTTTTGGCCACAGGAACAAGAAAGTTGTTGATTATTCTCAGTTTGGGGATTTGGAAGATGATGGTAAGTGAGATGTTCTTGTACATCAAGAATTTGAAATTGCCTCTTACATAAAAGCACATGTAAGAGAGAGTCTGTTGAATTTTCATTTTAAATACTTTTAAGGATAGTGCAGTTGTTGTGTTCTTTTAAAATAGGATTAATTTCCAGAAAAAGTTATCTTGATATATTTTCAGTGTGCAATGAAAATGATGAAATTTAAGAATATAGGAAAACTCATGAGAGCTTGTTGCTGTTTTCCAACAGATGAAGACTTTGCACCTTCAAGCAAAAAGTCCAGAACACAACTCAAAGATTCAAAGAAGGAGAAAAAAGAGAAGTCAAAAAAGCCCAAAGAAGTGACTCCATCACAGACACAGACACTTAGTAAGAGGTAAGAAATGTGGTCAACTCTATGTAAAACTGGATTTTAATAAGAATATTTGGGTTTGGTTTCTTTTCCCCTAGAGTTTTAAACAGCTGAGAACAAACAAGTAATACATGACTGTAATAAAGATTTTGAGCTGTATTAATGCACCTTCAGATAACTCTAAAAATTCTGAGTTTCTTAGGGACTCCTAAACCAGAGAAATATAAAGACAAATTTGATTTCTTCTAAAAGAACATATTTAAAGGAAGATAAAAAGTCTGTGTCAGTGAAAAAGAGAAATCTAATTTTTATTAGTAGAGTTATGTTTAAATATTACATTTTGATGTGGCATTTCAAACAAAGGCAATCACTTTTGTTTTTCTGTAGTAATGCCAGTTAATAGTTCATATATTTATATATATGTATATATATGCACACATACACTGCTTTACAATCATAATGCTTTAAAGTATAGAGTGCTTTAAAAGTTAGTGTATATTTTGTCTAAATAATTTCAAAACGTGATATTTGTAACAAAATATGCTATAAAAATGTATTGAAATATGAATCTCTTCACAAGTATCTGAATTTAACGAGTTCACTGGGCAAGAAATAGTTCTATAACACTCATGTAATTGTTTTATTATTTAACATGTTGTCATTCTTTCCCTAGGTTATCCTTGGATGAGAAACTTTATAAAAGAGATTTGGAAGTTGCCTTAGCCTTATCTGTCAAAGAAAAATCTTCTGATCCCCAAGAAGTGCAAAATTCACAAGAGCAAGGTTACTTTACAGTTCCATTCAACACTCTTTGTTTATATGCAGTGAATTTGAACATGGGAATTTATTTTACACTGAAATAGATTGAAAATTATATTTTATTTTAAGATGTCATGACAAAAGAGTTTCTAGGTATTGTCTGTTTTCTTATGTTCTTGGGTTTTTTTTCTGTGAGAGAAGTAACTCTTCTATAAGATTTTCCTAATCTATACTTGGATTAGAGACAGATAAAAACTTCAGCTATTTTAATTTCTTGCTCTTTTTACTTTTTATAATGTGTTTTTGTACAGTATTTTAAATTTTTTCCCCTGGATCTTAAAACAGGTAAGAATATTGAGTCAGAAAATGCACAGAGGAGACCTCCTTTTTCCAACTGCAGTGTAGACAGTGAACTTTTAGGTAAGTTGTTCTCACACTCTTTTCACAAAAAACATTTAAATACCTTATGTCTTCTTTGTTTCCATTGGTTTATTTTGTTTTTGTTGTTGTTGTTGTTGATGTGGAAAAACGGGTCTTTATCTTAAATAAAAGTTGAAGGATGTGTCAATTCTTTCATTAAAAATTTGGCCCCAGTCTTAAAATGAGGACACCTGTGGATTGGTGAATTTTTGGTCTTTGTTTTGATTGCCTGATTACAGATAAAAGTTGATAAATTTGATAATGAGAAAATAAAATGAGAAGCACATGAAAACAGGCGTCACTGATATGTTTCTGAACAGTATAACTTCATATCACCAAAATTAATTTTGGGCACTCAGATACCAAATCATTTTAGAGGAAGAAAATAAATTTACTGTGAATTTAAGCTGATTGAATCACTTTCTGGTTTGTAGGTCTCAATCGGGTTATGGATGAGGATGCACCTGAGGGTGATGGGAGGCAAAGGACAGCAGCAACCAAAGTTCCAGCACATCACAAGTCACTGGTGGTTGACAGTGATGACAGAGCCCATGGTCCTGATGATTCTGACCCAGAGTCTGTACCCAGTAAGCTCTTCTCCACCAAATCCTCTCCTTACATGTGCTTTGGATGTGATGCATTATGTTTAGTTTGGATTTTTAGTGAAATTCGTGCTGTTTTGACTGCATTTTCCCTTACTCCCCCTTACTGAAGCATTATTTCCCCATACTCATGACATCTCATTTGCACTTTGACAATAAATTTACTCACTGGAGCTTATTCACTCCCAGACCAGCAAAATGTCACTGCTTCTCTGCATTTGTATGTCAGGAGAAATTCCTTCTGCCCTCCTTGTCCAGGAAAGTTTCATCTCTTTAAAGATCCTCTGTTCATTTTTGCAGTTGTTTTCTGGGCTTTGTGTCAAAACAGTGATTCTGGGGTAGTATCAGGTGTTGGAGCTTTCACTGTTGGCTTTGTTTAAGCTTATTTTAAAAAGCAAGTAGCCTCCCTTCTTTCCTTCCTGTGACTGTCATCTTTTGGAAGAGCAAGCTGCATCCATGTCTGTGTCATTCCCTAACAGACAAGGTGTCTGTGTAAATATTTACAAACTTCAAGATGGGACAGTCTAGTACCATCCTCATTTCTGCTATGCAGTGGTCTGTCATCTTAAATGATGATTTCTTTGCTAAAGAGCATCTTTCTAAAGTAATTTTTTTCCATCCCAGCATCACCTAT